ATAGATAGATAGATAGATAGATTTGTCTATCTTTCTCTCTCTATCTCTTATCTCTCTATCTGTCTGTCTGTCTGTCTGTCTGTCTGTCTGTCTATCTATCTATCTACCTATCTATCTATATATATATATATATTATTCAGTTATATATGTATTTCTTTACTTGTTTGTACTTATATATTTGTATTTGTTTACTCGAAGGGACTGACTTTAAAACCTATCGAGGTTCAGGGTTTCGCCCATCGAGTGCCACGCCTCGGTGTTTTCAGGGTTTAGAGGCCTGGAGGGGGGTTCTCGAGGTTCAGGGTTTTGCCCTGGAGAGGGGCTAAGGGTTTAGGGGTCTAAGGTTCGGGTTTCGGAGAGGCTTCTCTACGGTCAAGATGTTTTCAAGCCTTGTCAGGGTTTTGTCCATTGAGGCTCAGTCCCTCGAGGGCAGGGTTTTGCCTATCGAGGATCAGGGTTTCGCCGCGTTTTGCCCTCTTTCGGATCGCCGAGGGTCAGGGTTCAGGGGCACCGGTTTGCCCTGGAAGGTCAGGGTTCTTTCAGCTTCGGAGTGCGGAGTCGATCTGAAGACCGGGTCTAGCTGCTTTTTTCGAACTGAAGTGAAGTGGAACAACTGATCTCCCCAAGCGAATATGCCGGCGGATGAACTCTCGGCAAAGACCTGTGTCTGTTGTGTAGTTTCTGTCTAGTTCATCGGCTGCTATTCATACAGCGATGTTGGTTATTCCTTGTATGATTTGAGGTTTAAGTCTTGAGAACGCAATGTGTGTGTGTGTGTGTAACGAGCTTTTGTCTGGTTGTAGGCCGTTTGATCGGCTGTTGCTGAAAACGACATAAGAAATTTCTTATGTTCTTAATGTTATGGGATTCTTTGGGCGGTTGGGTTGTTTGCCAGGTCTAAAACCGCTAGCTTGACTGGCTAGTGAAAACTCGATCCGGAGCTGCCGAGCCCGAAACCTAAACCTTAAACCCTAACCCTAAACCCTTTGAGGTATGAGGGAATATGCAAGCACTGGGAAGTTAAGAGTATAGGGGCATTCTGAAGATGCCTTACACGTAGGGCACCATGTCATCTCAATCATGCAATACAAGAAAAGCCAATATGCAATAATTTACCATATACATACCTACATACATACATACATGCATGCATGCATGCATGCATGCATGCATGCATGCATGCATACATACATACACTGTACATGTATATGCGCACACATACAAAATGTTGTATGTATGTATGTATGTATGTATGTATGTATGTATGTATGTATGTATGTATGTATGTATGTATGTATGTATGTATATACACATGTGGACTATATTATGTAAGACTATACTACAATAAACATAATGTATGTCCATATACAATACTAGAATATAGTATAGTCATATTCCGCTTTTTCTTTGATCACTTTGCTCCATAACAAGAACAGCGGTTTACCAGCCTGTTACAACAGTCAGACTGCTCGGAACGCAGGCAACGAACAGTGATCTAGCAAGACATGGCAGTCTGCATGTGATGTAGTCACCGAGTATTTTTCGAACACTTGCGGCACCATCTTGTTTGGCCAGTTCAAAACCCAAAACCGTAAGCCCTATAGACCCTAAACCCTAAACCCTAAATCTTCGTTGTTCTGAAGCATAACTGACCATCGCCAAAAAAATCGCATCCTTGACCGACTCGCCGAGCTGAGGTCGCCACAGGCTGAGAATCTCGCAACCTGTCTGCGCCTTCAGACAGATCGTCCATCGAGTTCAGGACGGCTTTCTCGGGTTTAGGGCATCTGAAAGCTTCAACTGCGAAACCACTGACATACCACAAACACACACACACACACACACCGCTGCATGAGGCCGGGAACTCTCTCAGAGGTCTCGTACGGTCTGCAGTTACAATACTACTGTACTGGCTGTTAGCTAAGAACCATGCCCATGCGAGGCCGCAGACAACGAAGCTGCATGAACTACTTATTCACAAGCCGCGAGTAGATCATCGCAGTCAGATTTCAGATCAGTTCTCAAAGAGCACGCCAGCGTGAAACAAGTCCTTTTTGTTCGTGTGCCTTCACACGAAAGTCACGCACAGCATAAGTTTTAGGGTTCATGGGGCAATGTACGCTACTGCATGGGTGGACTGCTTTTGTCTCCCTGGGTGGGAACAGATATTGATCTGTACAGTGTGGTGTCGCATCGCAGTACAAAGTACCACTTTGGACACCCGGCAATCGACAGATAACACTCCGGTCAACAGTTCAGGAATACTGCAAACCAGCATGCCGGACGCAACTTGTGAGACGGTTGATATAAATCCTGCATTCCCGGTAGTAAGGAATATACCATAATTCCGTAGTTTCGGGTCCTTAAGGTAATGCAGGATTTATATCATCAACAGTATAAAGTATCGCAGAGCTTGGCAATCGACTGTCATGCGCTGATTTGTCCATCCCCAGGGTTGACTTGGAGCTTACACGGAAGGAGAATCAGTCCTGAATTTATGGGCGCTTGTTATTGTTCACTGCAGAAGTGCAGGTTTTCGACGACGGGGTAATGAACCCTGCAAGAGCAAGTCTGTTGGAACGGCTTGGCGGGTCGGGTGCACTTCGGTGGCATCTCCTGGAGAAGAACGGCGGTGCCGTGGTTTCACTATGTTCTGGATGTTCTGGTCGCTTCTAACCTGTAGTGAGCCCCCAGATGTGAGACTTTCAGTGCATGACGACTCCAAACTTCAAATCTCTTCTTGCATCCTAGCTGCCCATACCACCCACACCCTCAGCGTTGCGGTCCTGTACTTTGCTACAAGGAAACCGGGGCAATCTCTCTACCCAACTGCACCGCCCTAAACCCTATACCCTAAACCCTATCATAGTGCAATCTCTGTATCTTTTCATTTCTCCAACCCCTTCAAGATCCTGCTTAAAGGTAGCAACATATACCCCCAAGAGCCCTAATCTGCCTGGTAAGGCCCCCAGAGCTACTGACTCCAACCCCAGCTCCTAAACCCTAAAACCCTAAACCCTAAACCCTAAACCCTAAACCCTAAACCCTGAACCCTAAACCCTGAACCCTTCATTATCCCTAAACTTTGCTCTAAACCCCTTAAGCCTTAAGCCTAAATCCTTAACCCACAAGCCCGAACCGCTGTTCTGTTGCCGCAGTAGCCCCGGGATCCGATTTCGCCAATGCGCGCAGCTTTCCTGGCCAGGCCTTTCAGCAGCTGAGCTGCAAGCTTATGTAGCCTGTGCTTTTGTTGATTGGTTTTGGGGGTTCAGGGGCTTTTACGGTATTTGGGGCTTTGGAATTTAGGGGTTTCGGTGCTTGAGTTTGAAACGTTAATCCTATAGGAGTCCGGTAACCGAAATAGCTCTGATCTGGGCCTGGCAGGGACTTCCTTTCCGGGCACTTTAAGGCAAAGTGCTCTTTTGATCCACGGCCCCTTATGTAGGAACCAAAACTATGCCTGTAGTCTCCATTGTAGTTCCTTTGTTTGGTTAACCCAATTGCATATGAAAGATCCTGGAAGGCAACCCCCAAAAGGAACTACAATCGAGACTATAGGTATCATCGGACCCAAAGTTAGAAGTCAAAGACGCACCGGAGAATTCGCAACGAGGTTCCATGTTATGCCATGCTCCTGCCTTGCAATTCTCAGTGCTGCGGATCCTAGCAATGATTGTTGGATACGACGTGTGTGGGCTTGGAGAGCTTGGCATTTGTGGAGTTTCGCCTTGAAGAGTGCATGCTAGGCATAGTGCTCTTGGTTGCATACACCTAATAAGGGTCCATGCAGCTGCGTAGCTTGTCCTTTGTCCTTGACGGATCCCTATGTAGCAACGGCAAGGCCGATGTTTTCTACATCGACCCCATAGGGCAAAGCAGGTCTCGAAGTCAATCGACCCTGAGCCCACCGAAACCTGGAACCCTGAACCCCCAAAGCCTAAAGGCCACTAAGCGCACGATCTAAGCAATCCTAAACCCTGAGGATCCCTGACCCTGCCCCTTCCCTCCCTGGATACCTTTTGGCCCATAAAGAAGAGCATCGCGATGGACTTCCTCCTTGCACATGACCTGTTACTTCCGCACCACTATCGGACCCTCCAGGGTTACCCTTCGTACCCTGAGGGTCCATGTGCGGCTGTACTATATGCTCGGATCTTGAAGGGGTTCCCATAAGTCCGTACTTGAAGCCCAAGTCAATGCTATGTAGGCAGATGGACCCGTTTGAGAATCCAGGAAGCGCCCAAGCACAAGAATTTGTTGGGTGGGACAGCTTTACTTGTCTTCCACATCTAAAGAGGGGCTCATGGGATCTAGTTGAGTTGGTTTTTGGACCTACCGGTTTCACGGTTTCCAGTTTCAAAGCCTAAACCCTTAACCCCGAATCCTCAGCCCTATAAACCTTAAATCCTGAACCCTAATAAACCCTAAACCCTGAACCCTAAACCCCCTTACAAAGCCTAAACTCTGAACCCTAAACCCCCTAAAGCCTAAACCCTGAACCCTAAACCCCCTAAACCCTAATCCCTGGAGCCCCAAAGAGCTCAATCGAAAGCCACAAGCTCAGCGCCTTCAACCGTCTAAGTCTGCACTGGGTTTAGGGTTTAAGGGCTTAGGGCTTAAGGGCTTAAGGGCTTAAGAGTTTGGGGTTTAGGGTTCAATGGTTTAGAGGTCTCGATGGTTAGCAGTGGTAGTATCCTGTTGTATACCCTTTGCAGTTATACCCTCATGAACCCCCTACTTGTGCAGCCCTTATAATTGCTGTCAAACAGTTTGCGCAACCGGGGATATTGATGCAGTTCCTTTTTGTGTAATACAGAGGCCTGAGCAAATCCCTATGACAAAGTAAACGCATCGCGTCGTCCGCCTCGGCCCGGCTGTGCCTGAAGCAGGTGCATTGCACCTTTTTTGGGAAAGCAGGAGGTAGGTCACACATGCGAGGTCGTGAGTGAATGACTACGTTTGCTTCAGAACATATTTTTAAATGTGCATAATTGTGTTGGCGCTGGTGGCACATTCCCAGCATGCAATAGCGCAGATAGACGTTACGACCGGGTTTGAAACTGTTGCGACATGTACGGGGGAATCTAGTTTTTTGACAAAGTACAAGACACAACCTTTGAGTTGCCGTGCTTTGGCATCGAATTCAGTTCACGAATGATGTAAGCTAGCCAGTCTTGGCCTGGCCGTAGGCAAAAGAAAAACAAGGAAAGGGATGGGGAAAGAAAGAAAGAAGCAGGGGCCAGAAGAAAAACAACTGATTTGCTTGCACCGTGATGCAAAGCAGCACTTCGAGACTCAACTCCTGTTCCGTCTTGAGGCGTCTTTTGTTAATTGACCGGTGTGAAGACATGTATACTCCGCACGGCTCGTAGCAGCATTGAAGAAGCTCGTGACAAGTAAACGGAATACCACAAACAAGCCCGTGGATGACACTATGCTTTTGATGTCTGACTGTGGCGTGCTTTTGCACCCAGAAAATGACAGAACGGGGGTGGTGTCTGCGTGGAAGGGCGCGGACGGGCGGGTGAGAGCCGGTTCGCACAGCTTTGCGGGGGCGTGGGTTATTGGGGAGGGGATTAAGCGGTGGGGGAAGCAAGGAATCCGTGTGGGAACTTCTGACCGCTTCGGCCGAAACCCAAGGCGAATTGTAGTGCCAACCCCGCAAGACCTATTCAAATCGCTAAGGTCCGTAAAGTTGTTGCTTTAATTCGGCTTCAGGCTTTGGCCTTCAGCGCTTCTTGTTTGGATCCTAAGCAGAAGAGATCAGAAGAGCTTGTTAACGCCAAGAGGAATCGCTTTTCCACTTTTAACCGTGCAACCCTAAAGCGTTCAGGTGTGCAGGGGCCAACTTTCGGCCGGGACAGCCGATGGCACCAGGAAGATGGTTGAATCCGCAAGGCTGTCAGACTGTAAGCGAGCAAATGTTTCTGACTTGTTTTGTTCACCGCTTGTCATTGTTATGTAAGCGAACACCTATAATAGACTAAATGTGTTTATACATATAGTGGTAGTGGTAGTGGTATCAGTATGAGCATTAGTATTAGTATGAGCATGAGCGTTAGTATTGGTATTTGTATCACAGTTAGCATCATTAATAGTGTGTTAGTCTCAGTGCTAGTGTGTGTGTGTGTGTATTAGCATGAAGAACACTATCATCGTTATTGGCAGTAGTAGTAACAGTAGTGGTAGTAGTAGTAGTAGTAGTAGTCGTCGTCGTCGTAGTAGTAGTAGTAGCAGTAGTAGGAGTAGTAGTAGTAGTAGTAGTAGTAGTAGTAGTAGGAGTAGGCGTAGGAGTAGGAGGAGTAGTAGGAGGAGTAGTAGTAGTAGTAGCTAGTAGTAGTAGTAGTAGTAGTAGTAGTAGTAGTAGGTGTAGTAGTAGTAGTAGTAGCAGTAGTAGCAGTAGTAGCAGTAGTAGTAGTAGTAGACGTAGTAGTAGTAGTAGTAGTAGTAGCAGTAGTAGTAGTAGTAGTAGTAGTAGCAGTAGCAGTAGTAGTTGTTGTAGTAGTAGTAGTAGTAGTAGTATGTGAATGTGAAGCGCCGCAAACCGGTCTTGCAAAGGAGCAAACACGGAGCGGCAGCTGTCTTTTGCTTCGCGGGCTCACAGCGCGTACGCTCTCCAGGTCCCTAAGCAACCGCGTCGCAGACCGACCGCGAGTTGCAACTTCTGAGGAAGCTACACCTACTCGCAAATCAGCCATGCACACTTGGCACTTAGTTACAGTCTAGAGGGTCGTGGGAGTTAATAGGAGTCGCGGCACAGCAGTACAACAGTAGTAACTAGTACGATAGTAATCAGTATTGCAGCAGTAGCCGTAGCCATAAGTAGCAGTACTCAGTAGCAGTAGCATTGGTCAGCAGCAACGGCACAGTAGTAGTAGCAGTATTAGTAGTAGTAGTAGTAGTAGTAGTAGTAGTAGTAGCAGTAGTAGTAATAGTAATAGTAATACTAACAATAGTAGTAGTCGTCGTCGTCGTTCTAGCAGTACTAGTAGCAGCAAGAGTAGTACGTTGAGGTTAAGGGGATTGTGGGTTTTTAGTATGTCAGTAGGAAGGTATTTATTCCAAAATCCCGGGCGAATACCGGGCACATTCACATGGTGCACCGCAAAATCCCCATCTCCTGAATTAGCCGTTGCAGCCGGTCGGTTGGGGTTCTAGGCCAGTTCGCAGATCGCGGGACACCCAATGCAGACTACGGCATCCAAACGTATGCGCCATTGAAGTTTTCCTTTCAGGTTTCATCAGGAAGGGAAATCGGGATTTTGAGGTTATAATAATTATAAATATGTCAAATTATCTCAGTGATGCTTGAACTCTTGAACCCCGAATCTCAAACACGAAAGCTTGAGCTCTTCGGGCTTCGGGAGAACCCTGAACCCCAAGCCCTAATCCCAAACCCTGAGCCCACAAGTCGTCGACTCGATTTTTGTTCGACGCGAGGTTCCGGCTATGCAGCGCAGCCTGCGGTGCAGATTGCGACTCACCCAAAGCCTTCATCCCGAGACGCCGGCTGCATGGCTTCTGCGATCTTCAATCAATATGTTGGAAGTCTCCGAAACTCCAAATCTACACTGCAAATCACAGGCTCCTGGAGATTTCGGAGTGAAGCGCAAAGGCCACTGGTATAAACCCTCAACCCCGAACCCTGGTTTTAGGGTTCAGGGGTTTGACGAGGCAGGACTTGTCGCTGGCAGGACTCGTGGGAGAGGTGGCGTCGCGCTTAGCTGGCCCACTCTTTCCCTTTCCAAACACGTGAAAGGTTCAGGGGTTTAACGCCCACGAAATAAACTAAAACCCGTCTAGATCCGGCAACAACCCCAAGAAAACCCGAGCCAAACACCCTCAAGACCCTGAACCCGGAGCCCTACCCAAACACACTATGAAGGACCACGAGCACGAGGGCTCTATACAAGGGCAGTTAGGAGGTCTGGGTAAGCCCCAAAACCGCAACCCCAACCCACCATAAACCCTAAACCCTAAAGCTAACCCAGAAGCCCAACCCAGGCTGCACGGAGCAGAAAGTTCAGGAGATCTCTGAGCCCAACGTGCCCGCGCCTCCTGCTCGTTCAAAGGGCTCCCATGCAGCTTGCCTTGGGATTTAGGGTTTAAGATTTTCAGGGTTTAGTTTAGGGTTTAAGTTAGGGTTTACTGAGGAGTTTATCGGATTTTGCTGTTTAGGGTTCGGGGACTGAATCACTGAATGAAGACTGTGAGAACCCAGAAGAGCCCAAAGACAGTGCTATTTCGCCGAGTGTTCGGACAGAAGGTTGCCGTCTCAGGGTGTCGGGTTTAGGGTTTAGGGGCCCGGAGTCTTTGGTTCATGTTTCTTGCTTGAACATATGGGTAGTTGTCAAAATTATGGCCCTTTTTGGGGTACCCTAAATAACAGGTGCCGTATTATAATAAGGACCCAAAAAGGGACCATAATTTTGACAACTACCCATATGTTACTGCACTAGGTCACATAGCGTGTAGGGTCTAGTCTAGGGGTTGCCATACATCTATACCAGGTTTGCATGCAGGGCTTAAGCACAATGACCCTAACGCCTGGACCTAGCTGTATCGCAGACTTGGCTTCTACTTGTGGGTTACCCGATAAGCCCTAAACCCTAAACACCCTGGAGTTAATGTTAAAGTGTTAAGAGATTGCACAGAAGATGAAGAAGGATAATAGGGTAAAGTTTTAGGTTAACGCTTTCAGTAATGTTTATGATTCTTTTTAATTATGCTAACCCTACCGGACATTCCTGCATTGGAAGTCGAAGGGCCCGAATCTTTGAGCCTCTCTCAAGCCCCGGCACTGACCAGACTCGTCCAAAGAGAATTCATTCCCCTTATTCGTGGTCCCTGTATGACTATAGTATACTTCATGTATAGAAGTATATCTACAATATACTGCTATAACAGATGGTGTAGTTTAAATAGTGACGCGCGTTTCACCACAAGTTGATGAAATTGTCCGACCTTTCTCGCTTTGCTCAGCCCCTTCGGCCACATGCGTGCATTTAGATTGATGGACACCAAACCTAAGGTTTAGGGCTCTTAAGTACCCTAAAGCCTAAACCCTACTTTAAGGGTTTCTTAAGTTTAGGTCCGAGAGGTCAGGCTTGTAGAGCGCTTTACGCGCTGCTTCTCGCCGCCGACTTCAACCCTAAACCCGGGAGCCCTTGCGCAGCATAAGCCCGAAGCGGCTGGCACGGGTATATACCTCTGGAGATGCCCAAGGGATCCGATGTACCTATAAAGTAAAATGTGGGGTTTTTTTTAGGGGAAGAGTACTTAATCCCCATAACAGAGCCTACTAAGGACTCTTTGGGATGAGCTTCACCAACTTTCTATACAATGCAGCAGCAGCACACAGTATCTGAGTGGCAAACATCAACAAATAGCATTCCTCGAAGTTCCAGGAGTGCTGCCCCAAGTCCTAAAAAAATTGGAAACCTCAAACTCTGAACCTCACACCCTAAACCCTAAACCCTCAACCCTAAGCCAAATCGACTGGGCTTTCAGGAACTCGGCCTCTGCGAGCGCTACAACGCCGGCTCTCTCGGACACCCTGAGCTCTGTCGGAAGCCCTGCGCCTCGGCTTTGAGGATTTGGGTTTAGGGTTTAGGGTTTAGGGTTTAGGGGTTAGGGGTTAGGGGTTAGGGGTTTAGGGTGTAGGTTTAGGGCTTATTATTGTATAGGGCTTCTTTGTTTGGCTACAAGTTTTTCGGGCTTACGACGGTTTAGGACTTATTAGTGTTCGGGGTTTCGGGTTTAGGGGTGCTTTGAGGGTTTAGCTCCATGAACTTACTGTCTTAAACACAAGGGTTCTACCATACGGTTCGAGACGTTTGGGCTGTGGGTTGTAGACTATAGGCAACACTACGCATGTTTCTACAAGGGGGGCTTGGAGTCTATAAAGGTTGCTGCAGGGGATCCTCACCGGGTGATACTAAACGACTAGCCGAAAAGAACCCATGCGGGGGTCCATAGGGTAGGAATTTTGGGGGCCTCGGGTTTAGTGTTTGGGAATTTTTGGGGCTTCGGGTTTGGGGTTTGGGCAGTAGGGCTTCCTGGCTTTCCAGGGTCGTATAGTTTCTTGTACATGTTTCGGAGCATTATCGGGTTTGAAAGGTTCTCGCCAGGTTAAGGGCTCCTAAACCCTTAACCCATTTATTTGGCCTTATGGCAGGTTCCTACGGGATTGTCAACCCAAGGTTGACCAAACTAGCGGAGCGCTTTATGAAGCCACGATACACCCCCCCTTCGGGCCTCCAAGGCTTTGTTAAGGGTAGGGTTGAAGAAGTGTAGGTTTGAGGCCTTAGCCTGTATACCCTTCCGCGAACTTGCTAGACTCTTGAAGCAACACAGATTCTGTAAGCCTTCTGCCCGCTTGCTTCCAGGCTTTTAAGACTTGGGTCGTCACTGACGTGCTTACTTCTTGCTTGCTTGCTTACTTGCCTGCGACATGCATGCATACACGCATGGCGTTGATGTATGCATGCACGAATGTATGAATGTATGAATGTATGCATGCATGTATGTATTGTATATACTGTATGTACTGTACGTAGTTCATGTATTTTTTGCATGCATGCATGTATGTATGTACGTATGTATGCATGTATGTATGCATGTATGTATGCATGAGCGTATGTCTGCCTGTCTGCCTGTCTGCCTGCCTGTCTGCCTGCCTGCCTGCCTGCCTGCCTGCCTGCCTGTCTGTCTGTCTGTCTCTTTGTGTGTATGTATGCATGCATGTATGCATGTATGCATGTATGCATGTATGCATGTATGCATGTACCCATGTATGCATGTATGCATGCATGCATGCATGCATGCATGCATGCATGCATGTATGTATGTATGTATATGTCTGTGTGTTGAAATACCATCCCCGACTTTGCCACACTCGTGGCCCAAGACACTTTGCCCCTGCAGAGAAAGGCGCTGCTGAACTTCAGGGCTGACTTTGGTGTCTCAGTTGAGTGAGCTTGTGCACAGATTACTTTAGGGTAGTTTGGTGCGCATTCTGGACTAGTGTACTTTCGCACTGTGTGTGTGTGTGTACGTGCGCATGCCTGTATGTATGCATGTATGTAAGTATGTATGTATGTATGTATGTATGTATGTATGGTACATCTGTCTGTCTGTGCGTGTAGTCATGTACGGATGGATCTCGTGCACGGCATGTGTGTAACATATATAAGAGTACCCTTACGTATACAACCACGAAAAATATACAACACATATTGACATATATAAATGTAAACCTATGCTCATACCGTTATACCCATACATACATATACATGTGTGTATATATATATACACATGTATATATGTGTGTGTATGTATGTATATATATATATATACATATATGTATGAATGCATGCATGCATGCATGCATGCATCCATGCATGCATGCATGCATGCATGCATGCATGGATGGATGGATGGATGGATGGATGGATGTCTGTATGTACATATGTATGTATGTATGTATGTATGTATGTATGTATGTACGTATGTATGTATCTAGGTAGGTAGGTATGTATGTATGTATGTATGTTTGTTTGTATGTACGTATGTATGTATGTATGTATGTATGTATGTATGTATGTATCTATGTATGTATGTAACATGCAAGTATGAATTATTATGTATGTAGGTCAGTATGTGTGTATGTATGCATGTATGTGTATATATATATGTATGTATGTATGTATGTATGTATGTATGTATGTATGTACGTAGGTATGTATGTATGTATGTATGTATGTATGTATGTATGTATGTGGGTAGGTATGTTTTGCAATACATGCGTTGTCGACTTATGGCTGTTCGGTGGCAATTTCCTGCAGTTCTGTACTTCAGCCGTCTACAAGACGTAACGACGCGGATCTTACATGTTTGCAGACAACCTTACAACACCGGAAACCCACTTGCCTACGCACTGGTTTCCTGCGAGTGTTAAGTTGTGTAGACGCAGTAATCTACTACACCGCGGCCTTTAACATTGAGAGAAGCGTGGGGATTGCAGACCCCAGCCCTGCGATCTGAACTACAACTCGCCTGTAGCGATTTCCAAGGCCTGTTCCATGAGAGGGGCGAATGTGACAACGGCGCTGCTTGCGGATATTGCCTCGAGCCTGAACTCTAATCGGTTGGTCGGCATAGACAGTAAATGATAGTAGTAGTAGTAGTAGTAGTAGTAGTAGTAGTAGTAGTAATAGTAGTAGTAATAATAGTAGTATTAGTAGTAGTAATAGTAGTAGTAGTAGTAGTAGTAGTAGTAGTAGTATCTCTCTTTTTCACCTATATCTACTAGCCGAATACGTATAATTAATATATCAGGACATGCCAGCTGCCAGGTTACGAAGGTTCAGGTTCGTAAGGTTGAGGTTGACGAGCTGCATGGCTTCCGGGTTTTGGTGTAGTCAGATCCAGTAGACCCCTCCATGCCTCGTATTCACAGCTGTGCGGTCTGGGGTCAGGGCGGTTTTCCTTCCCTCTTAAGATTGTAGAATAGAATATAACATAACGGTATATTCTATCATACTGCATTACATTATTTTCATATAAAGCCTTGCTATACTGAAACTAAACTTTCTTGGAATTGGTTCACAGGGTCCTGCATCAACTTCCGGATCCCTGAACCCTAAACCGAAATCCTAAACTCTAGACTCTAACCCCTAAATCCAAATTAAGCCCTGAACCCTAAACCGAAACCCAATACCCTCTTTTCCCACAGCCTGTCCAGGGGCAAGGGGCGTACCGGTCTGACCCATTTGCTTTTTCCAGGTGCTCAGCTTCAGTGGATGCCTTTTACACTGTGCATCACGACTTCCAGTTTGCTGTGTCAGTGGATGCCTCTTGTTTTATGGCTTCGAGCTCATGGGTCCATGCACCTATATAGTCGATACTTCCGTTTGTCTTGGCCACTGACTCATCCTTAAAATCCAAACTTATAGACCCCTTGCTCCCAAAGCCGCAGAGTCTAAGAGGGCTGAGCGCTCAGTAAGCGAAGAACCTGCAAGAGCAAGCTGAGGTCACTTCCCACATCTGAGGCGACCAGCAGTGCCCGACAGATGTCAGCGAAATTTGATTCGCAGACTAAGCATCCCAGCTCGCTTTAAGGGTTGAGGCTGCTTTTCCTCTGAAATTGTCAACGGTGAGTTTCGGGTTTACTTGAGGCTGTTCTGCAGAATGTCTCCCGGGTTTGTAATGGGTATGGTCTAGGGGCAAAGGCTGCCTTGTTTGACTTTGATAGAAGACTTTAGACTGGGTTATATAAGGGTCTATTAGGGTATATTCAAGGGTTCAATCAAGCATGACGACTCCCAGGCTGATTGATTTAAAGGGGGTTCGGCTGAAAGATGCAGTCTATTCTGTTAAGGGATTTCCATGAAAGCCGGTGAGCGTTGCAAACTAATTCTTAGTTTGCTGCAGCTTGTGGTGAGTCAAGCTTGTAGCCTACACACTGGCAAATTACCCCAAACTTGCAGAAATGTCAAAGAACATTCGAGAAGAAGATGCAATGTGGGGCCTGTTAGGAGTAGCACTAAAGAGGGTATGCTACCATACAGGGGTAAAGGTAAGGTATTCCTTCACAGCTCTATCTTGAGGATCCTTTCGCGGGGGGAGCTGTATGGAATCCTATCTCACCCGGAAAAGACCTCGAGGTCTAAGCCCACAATTAATAATAGGATTGCTTGGGGCTCTTAAATTATGATTGTATTATAACAGAACACAAAAATCCATTCTATTTGTGTGCTCAGGCATTCAGTGTTGAGTTCACAAAGCCTGAAAGCTGGGTTCCTTCCACCTTCCCGTTTACGGTTTAGGGTTTGTGGTTTCGGGATCTAGGAGTGTAGGAGTGTGGGGGACTTGGCAACGAAGCAGCAACGATGGTATCTGTCCTCGTTGGTATAATCTAGGCGTTTGAAGGTTTAGAGTTTAAGTGTCATAACGCCCAGAGAGCTACAGAACTGAAATGCCTCAGGCCTGCCACAGCTCCTTGTTTGCGTGGTGCCGCATGTTCGCACCCGCTGCTTGGACTGAATCCCGGGCTTTTGAAAACGCCCGAGACATCATGCACCCTAGGCCTCGAACCTGAAGCCCACAGACTTGACTACAATCTGAATCCTCAAGCCTTGTGAGTCCTAAGCATTAGAGCTCTAAAACCCCCTCTCTTAAGCCTTCAACTCTAAACCTAAACCCTAAACCCTCGAACCTAATGGCTAAACCCCAATCCCTGAAGCCGAAATCCTAAACCCCAAGCCTTCAAGCCTTTACTAAATCTTAAACTCTGGACCCTCAACCCTGAAACCGTAAACCCTAAACCCTAAGCCCTCAAACCTAAGTTTTCAAAGCTCCGAAGCCCTAAACGGTGGAGCCCCAAACCTCCAGAGTTCAGTGGCTGGGCGCCCGAAGATGGGAGCTCCAGAGCAGGCGTGTCTACTTTTCCACGTTGGCATACCAGACCATATATATATATATATATACACATATGCAAACGACATGTTTGTGTGTTCATATATATATACACACACATTTATTATGTATATATAATCTCTCTCTATCTATATATATATATATACATAGATGCAGGATATAGAGAGTGTGTGTATGCAGATACATATATACAGAGAGAGATGTATGTATTATACAAGATATGATCATGTATTATCAAATTGTAAATATGTACATACATCATCAAATGTTTTCTGACACTATCAGATATTTTTATTATGACATCTTGTCGAACATGTTACAATGCTATATTATCCTTACCTATAGCTTTGCTATTTTTCATATACAGATATATGTTGTATATTCGATCCCGCAAGGACCAAACACGTCTTGAAGGTGCAGGCTCTATACCCTCATATGATCAACCCCATCCTTACACCCTTTTGGGCAGAGGGGCGTGTGTCTCCTGAGCCTTCCTTAATATCTGCATGGGATTTCACATGCTCTAAATCCGGAGTTGTTGGTTTGGGTGCCTTTGACAGTTAGTTAGTTCACTCCAGCCCCACGAGGTCTCTGTTGTGTACCTTGAAATAGGGTTTAGGGTTTAGGGTTTAGGGTTTACTATCAAGCATGGCCTCTAGTTACTCTAGTTCTTGCCATCGTGTTAACACCTGTACGGCGACTTTCTGATAACGCTTCCGTCTCTGAGGTGCAAGCAAAGCTGGGCTTGCCGCAGCTGTGTCCGCGGTTATAGAGCTCCTTCTCCGATTTTGCAGGGGCAGATCAGTTATGGGCTGGATGAGTACTTTACGTATGTGCATATATATATATATATGTATGTATAATTCGAACATATACATATATATATATATATATATGTATATATTATGTATTTATACATATGGCTAACTAAATGAAGAGGCCCTCAACTCGACATGCATTCATCTTGAGGGTTCCGCAAGCTTTTCGTAATAGATTGAAGCCCTGAGCAGCGCAAGTCTGATCACTTTCCGGCTTAAGGCTCATGATTTAGGGGTTGGGATTTCGGTTTTAGGGTTTAGGGTTTGGGATTTCGGGTTTAGCGTTCAGGGCGCTTCCATCCAAATTCGTTATGTATTCTACCTCATCTTTTCCGCATCAGCAGTCATACCTGTAGCAACACGACGCAGGAACCTCAGCATCACACAAGCAACAACGGCGGCTCGCATTCCCGTAGTTTTTTGCAGTTACTACTCTGCTGCTGCTTCTGCTATTGCAACTGTTACTATAAAACTAAAAAATGTACAACTACTTCCACCAAGGACAACTACTTACTACTACTACTACTACTACCACTACTACTACTACTACTACTACTACTACTGCTACTACTACTACTACTACTACTACACCACCACGACTACTACTACTACTACTACTACTACTACTACTACTACTATACTACTACTACTACTATACTACTTCTACTACTACTACTACTACTACTACTGCTACTACTACTGCTACTACCACCACCACTACCACTGCCAGTACCACTGCCACTACCACTACTACTACTACTACTACTACTACTACTACTAGTTTCTTCTACTACTTCTACTACTACTGCTACTGCTGCTGCTACTACTACTACTACTATGACTACTACTGCTACTACTACTAGTACTACTACTACTACTACTACTACTACTACTACCACTACTACTACTACTACTACTACTCCTACCACAACTACTACTACTACGACGACTACTACTACTACTACTACTACTAC